CTATCCCGCCCCCGATTTTAAGAAAATGCTACATTTTCGTTACGAAATCATTCCGTCAAAATTTGTAAGCGTTAGATCATTATGTAATCCTCGTAGATAGTTGATCTACGGTTACAAATCTCGACGGAATGGTTATGTAACGAGACCATAGGATCTCCCCCAATTTTATATGGAGTATTACTTTTAATTTATTAAAAATCATATAATAAGATGGATAAAGTATTTATTTTATTTTATTTTTGTGACAAGAAATATAGCGTTGGTTCTATTGACGGAAAATGCTACGGTTCCATTACGGAATCATTCTGTCGAAATTTGTAACCGTTAGATCATCAGGTAACCATCGTATATAGTTGATCTAATGATTACAAACCCCGACAGAATAGTTCCGTAACGGGACCGTAGAATTTCCCATTATTAACAATTTAACATCCTGTTATTACCAAAGACTTGAATTCAAATCCTATCTCATAAAAGGAATTAATAAGTCTAATTAATATTAATTAATTTTAATACATTAAATCAATATTTTATTATTAATTGGTTCAGTTTTACAGGTCGGACAGAAGTAAATAGTACGATAATCAGAGCCCGAATATAAAATATTTGTACAAGCCAAACAAAAACACTACCTCCACTCTAACCCTTCCATTAGAACATTGTACCTGCCGCAAGCTAAGTTGTACATTTATCTACACCTATCAAAATCGCTCTGCCAATCCGCCCGTCCTTACATATATATATATGGACACTCACACTTTCCTCGCGCACACTGAAGCCCAATCTCATCGGCGGTCTCAACAACACAAAGGGAAAAGAAAAACGAAATGGAAAACAACAACCCCCAGCAGAGCGCCGCCGGCGGAGCGTACCAGACCCCGGCAGTCGGCGGCGGCGGCGGCGGGTACCCTGCGTACCAGCACCTCCTCCAGCAGCAGCAACAGCAGCTGCAGATGTTCTGGAACTACCAGCGGCAGGAGATCGAGTCTGTGAACGACTTCAAGAACCACCAGCTGCCGCTGGCCCGGATCAAGAAGATTATGAAGGCGGACGAGGACGTGCGGATGATTTCGGCGGAGGCCCCCATCCTGTTCGCCAAGGCCTGCGAGCTCTTCATCCTCGAGATCACCATCCGCTCCTGGCTCCACGCCGAGGAGAACAAGCGCCGCACCCTACAGAAGAATGACATCGCCGCCGCCATCACCCGCACCGACATATTCGATTTCCTGGTTGACATCGTCCCCAGGGACGAGATCAAGGACGAGGCCGCCGCCCTCGGCGGAATTGTCGGCGCCCCTACGCCAGCGGCTGCGGCCGCGGGGGTCCCGTACTACTATC